GGACAGATGAATGCGTTTGAGCGAGACACAACGATATATAATAAGTATAAGAAATGAATGAAAGATGTCACTATTGTCGAATTTGGAATTTAAAAAAAGTCTGTACTATCGACCTTGATTAAGTTCGACTGTCACTCCAGCATCCCCTGAAGGCCCGTCTACAATACACGGAGTAAGAAGTAAGAGTCGAACGTGAGAAGAATAATCGACTGTGATTGGTCAATTTCTTACTTTTACTTCTTACTCCGTGTATTGTAGACGACGCCTTAAGCGTTACCCCGGATCTACAATAAGTGTTTTAAGGGGTGGCATCCAATTGGACACGAGCCACTCACAGCGCTTGAGACTACAAAGCTCCTAAGCACCGGTCGCTGTGATTGGTGGTGTCCAATCGAGCCGTGATCAATCGGGATCACCCCGTCACGTGACATATTTCTTTGATTGGCTAGAGTAACACTGTTATTACTATAGCAATATGCGGCGCAATTCGTTGGCATGATGATGATGGATGTAAATTCTATACATAAGGTATGCAACATTCAATGCAAAGCATGGAATAATAGATAAATATTCACAAAACATTGAAGGATGAGTTTACTAACCTTATTCCACAGCAGTGGACAGGAGTCGATGTTGAGTAAATATCGATAGTAAATTCAATATGGCAGCTACTACGAATTACTCCAGCCAATCAGAGAAATATATCGATCACGACACTTTGCAAATCTTTAGCTGTGGTCAAAGTCTCGCTACAAGTGCTTTGAAGCGTTTGATGGACCAATTAGAAGAAAGAATTTTACAAACTGACCAATTAAAAAATGCTTCAAAGCATTTGTATCATCGCGTTGACCATCTCTGTTACACTATAGGGTCTCCAGACTTATTAGTTGGTAAGATCTCAGGTTTGATTTGTCATCCCATAAATAAATGAGGAATACGTATTTTGTAAAAAGCGCGACAGATGTATTTTCAAAGAGTGTGACACAACACATACCAACAAATCAATTTTCGTAGATTTTTGCAGTCAGCAAGGGCATCAATACTCTGCGATGTAAGAGTGTCCATTTTCCATAAATCTATACTTTCCAAATCTGGACAAGAATTTCTCAATTCCATTATAACTTTATTTACATCCAAACGATACGTGGTCCCTGCTAAACATAAGTGACGCATCTGTATGTTTCTTCGCAGTATCTTGCAAAGAGTTTCAGTTTCTATGTTTGTATTGGTAAGATTCAAATACTCCAGGAACTCCAGATTTTCAAGATATGAGAATCCTTTGTCTTGTACCAAGTCACAATAACGTAGATCTAATTCTAAGAAAAGTATATATGTATTAATCATACAATTTGTTCATGCTTATAATAATTATTTGCACATATACCTTTCAAATTTTTGCATATTCTCGAAATTTTCATTATAGTAATATTGTTGATAGATGAGCAAAAGAGTATACTTGGGGTACTCAACCGTAAGTGCGTTAAAAGACTACCACGAATAACAAGAAATTTTTCAAAATCCTGGACATAATTACTCATACAGGGTGAAAAATCCAACCGTCGTAAATATTCACATCTAGGTGCTAAATAATCCAATGCCTTATTTGCATTAATAGCCGAACAATCTATATCTAAACTTGTATAAAGCTGATGGTCCTGTGCTAAATTATTGAAACGTTTATTCACTCTGCTCATGCGGCATAATGACTTTAAGTCTAACTTTCTTAATATTATCATTATTATTTCATCCTGCAAGATAAAATATAAAATTTTAATAAACAGAATAACAGTAAATATTATTATGTGTGACCGGTGTGATGAAGACTTCTTAGTATACTTTACAGGAAGCTTAGAAAAACTACAACGTGATGGCTTCTTGGATTCATCCGGAAAGAGTTTTGTCAAAATATCTTCTGATAAATAGCATTGCCTACTATTAGATCCCTCTTTAAAAGGTGGTACATAAAGAGTTTCTAGTTGAGATGCTAGTTTATGAAAATTCTCTACTACATCACTACAAATAACATTAGTATAAACTTAGTTTCACTCATCAAAAAAAGACTAAATCTTATTTAATATTGATAATTATACCTTTTGTACATAATCAGCAGGGCTTGGCACGATTTGCATCTCTCCATGATAAATATCATACACCTCTCGGTCGATATTTTATTCTGCTCTGTCTTCCGCTACTCCTCTCAGTGTTGTTAGGTATGCGCCTTTTTAGCGCATGCGCACTACAGTACTAGTGAGTTATAGAGAAATCCAGTAATGTAAAGGATGAAAAGCACGGAGCGGACGGGGCCGCGGGTTAAACTGTTCGTGGTTATGCGCGGGAATTGGAGAAAAGGCATATACATTATTGTAATTTATTTCGCGAAAACAAAGAATCGAGAAGCACTAGACAAGTAAAATGTAATATGTAGAAGATAAGTATAGATTTGGCGAGATTTGGTAATATATGTAAGTTAAGTAATCTACACTGTGAATCACATATATTGCCAAATCCCGCCAAATCTATACTTATCTTCTACATATTACATTTTACTTGTCTAGTGCTTCTCTCTTCTTTGTCTTCGCGAAATAAATTACATATAATGTATATGCCTTTTCTCCGATTCTCGCGCATAACCACGAACAGTTTAGTCCGCGGCCCCGGCCTTCGCGCTTTTCATCTTTTAAGCTGGAAACACAATAGACACAGGCAACAGGGAATAACGAGCCGTCCAATCAGAGCTCTGGGATATAATATCGAACTTATACCCCAACCCCAAAGGGTCTTTATTCACTGTTGCCTGTGTCTATTGTGTTTCCAGCTTTACGGAAGGTGTGTGCGGCAGCACATGGCCCTTAAGGCCATTACAAGTACAAAAATTTTAATCTTAATCGTAAGATCGCAAGCAAATTGACCAATCACAATCAAAATTACGATCTTGCGTTTTAAAACATTTGACTGTGATTGGCCGATTTGCTTACGGCCTTATAATTACAACTAAAATTTTGGTACGTGTGATGGTCTTTAGACTCTATCCTTAGGCTAATGTCAGATTGAGCGCTTCATGTGGCAGCGGAACAACATTCAACCAATCACGAAGTACTTTTTCTTATTTTCTGCACGATATCTATTTTTATTAGTGCTTTACGATTGGTTGAATTTTGTTCCGCTGCCGCATGAACCGCTCAATGTAACATCGGCCTCATTAAACTATGGGTGTTTTCCATTTGATGACACAAGTCGACACAAGTGTCGTTCTATCTTTGTCACTCTCTGAATCAACAAAGGAGGAAATGTATTAATAGTAGGGATAGCTAAATCCGCGGACAAATGTATAGCGGGGAACACAGACTCTTGCATAACGCATAACACGTAAAGCCGGTTCTACATTAGTTGCAAGCTGATCGCAAGTTTGTTGCGACAGCCAATCTGAAGCTTGCATTTTGAAATCAACGTTTCATATTGGCTGGCGCAACAAACTTGCGATCGGCTTGCAACTAATCTAGAACCGGCTTAATGCATAAGAATATAGGCCTGTTTTTTTTTGGCTGAACTTTTGCACCAGTTCAATTTTCTTCCTTTTCTATCCGGGAGGAAAGAAGAGGAAGAAAGATGAACTGGTGCAAAAGTTCAGCCAAAAAGAACAGGCCTTATGTACCAATCGAAGTTCTCCATTTCTTTCCCTTCCATGTAATAGAGAACTCTGGTTGGTTCAATTTCTTATGTCTCATGTGTTATGCGTTATGCAAGAGTCTGTGCTCCCCGCTAAAGGTATATCCACACAAACTTCCATAGCCGCATAAACTTATGCATAAAGAAAATTATCCAATCACATTTTATGTACGACTTTAAAAGAGAACTGCAATTGGATAATTTTCTTTATAGATATGTTTATGCGGCTATGCAAGTTTGTGTGGATATACCCTAAGGCTTACTACATCTATTGTGTTTGCGGGCTAAAGAACACTAAACGTAAGTGCGCATGAGCATCTTCTGATTCGCTCTTATATTGACCAAATTAAAATGGCGCTGATCAATTGGTGCCACGATTTTCTATGCTTCACAGCGGAGATGTCCTTGCCAGCGTATATATGTATAATTCAGTGTCTATCCTTCATGCCGAATATATAACGTGAATTTGCTTCTCATCGTCGATAGATGTCGCGCGCAATCCGCGGCGGTCGGAATTAGATCGTGAGTGCCATTCGTGATATGCAATAAATACATATATTATATCGTTGATAACTCTTTCATCGCCAGCGTCACGTGTCATGTTCTCCAGTGCGACGTTGCTTTCCTTCAATGGCGATATACTTCAGCTTGTTTGACTTTGCATCCATTTTCACGTCACCAGTTGCGGCAACATTCACGCTTATATCGCTGTCATCGCTGTGCGACACTGTGCGACTAGTGCGATTGTGTCGCCTGTATATGTGAGCGACCGAATCTTGCATTGTAGTTGAGAGAGGACAGCGGTATGTGTGTATATATGTCAGAGAAAGAGACAGAGAAAAAGAGAGTGAGAATGTGAACTACGAGAAGGGGGGGAGAAGTTGCCCGATCTTGCACTTGCACTGCTTGCACAGTCGCGAATCCAATCCAATCCAATCTCGTCTCGACTTCTTTGGGGGAACCACGTGGCCCATCCGGACTATCCAGAGTGACAGTGGGTATTCGACCGTGCGCGAAAGTTGACGTATGTGAGGTGTTTTCTACACAGATTTGTTGATTTACTCCTCGTGAAAACAGATCGTGACGCGCAGCTGCGCGCCTCTGGAACAGCTTTGGGAAATAAACGAATAAGCGAATGATCGAACGTGTCTCTCCCACGATACCGGTGCGCTTTTCACCGAGGTGAGTGCCCGCGTGAGCTTCGCGAATTAGCGATTCTTCTTTCAGTCAGTTCAGTTGCTGGGTCGGATGCATAGTATGTTACGCAGTGTCTTCGAAGTGGTTAAAAAGAAGGGGAAGAGAAGATAAATGAGTGTATCGAGTATTTTTAATTAAAATATTACTCGAAGAAAACACTGACGATCGACATTCGCGATAAACTGATAATAGGTTTTTTCAGCTTTTTTGTTGCATACCGCAGTCTTTCGTATATCCTTCCAATCTCATCTCTGTTTTTTTCCTTTCAATATATACTTGATTTCTCTCGATTGCAGGAAGAGCATGTGATGTTTAAAAAGAAAACGTAGTCCGTGGCGTCTTATCGAGAGATATCACGGACCAACGACAAAAATAACAATTGAAAAACATCGTCATTAACGGTATTGATATTTTTTTTTTAAAGAGAAAATATCCTCAACATTCTTGAGATACGTTAAATTATATTCTCGTACGTATAAATGTAAGTGCTGACTGGTGCTGACTCTTCGTATCGCTTGATGTTAATTTATACTAACGTTCATTAAGTTCGTTTCCTAGTTCATTATCGCGCTAGTTTACGTATAATTATTTTACTTGCGTTATATAACGTGTGTGACGTTTATATTTCGCGTCGATCGATCGCTCGAATGTATTCGTATATGCGGAAAATAGTATCGACCCGTTTTGAAGGATTTATCATTTTATCGATCTATCGATACATCGTTTGTGTAAAAAAAATCTGCGTGCTTGATATTTCATAATATGAATTAAACGCATAAATTGTAGTAGAGGAAAGGCCCCTATTACGAGATACCGAGTTCATTTTAGGTAAATGCTAGAAGTCTATAGGCAGAATTTAAAAAAATAATAAGTCATTTTAAAGGGAATTTAATAAGCTTTAAGGTAACGTCACATAAAATTTAATTCAAATTCCATTTCTTTTGAAAATTAAAAAATGTAAAAGTGAGCAAATCGCAGTCATAAAATTGTGCTCCTAATATGAGATGCCCCGAGAAATTGATAGTAAAACGCAAAGTATATCAATATTGCAATTAAAAAACTTTATTTAATGTTCCTAAAATACAAACAAACATAACCAGCGGGCGCGAAAAATGAGCATGCGATAGATTATACCCAGAACTCGTTTTCAGGTGAAATCAAGCATCGCAGATATAGGCTCGACGTTCATTCCGGTTGTCTTTTTTATTATTGTACAATAACATTTATACTTTAGCAACGATTTTCACTATAACATAAGAGCATGGGTTATTTCATATTATAGGAATACCCTGGGTATCTCATTACGATTTCCACACCTTATGGTTTTACGATCATCAAATTTAATTTCTGTAATTAAACAATTCAACATATCCCGTATTTTTCTATTAGTACGACCTTACTCTCTATCACTACGTAAAGAATTTATTGCCAAATATTTATTTATTAAATAATAAACAAGGTTTAAATGCTCAATGAAACTTGAAACATCCAAATTCTAAAATCTTGTTTTACAATGACTACAGGTATGATCTAATAATGAATTTTTTACTAAATAGTTCAATCCAAGAGCAATAAATTTATGGTGGAACCAATAGATAGCGTTTATTATATAGTTTAGCAGAAACGCCGCTATTTCAAAGGCCCGTCTACAATACATGGAGTAAGAAGTAAGAGTAAGAAATTGACCAATCACAGTCGATTATTCTTCTCACATTCGACTGTGATTGGTCAATTTCTTACTCTTACTTCTTACTCCGTGTATTGTAGACGACGCCTTAGGCGCCTATCTCATAATAGGGGATTTTCCTCTGTATACATAGAAATATCGAGTATATAGAATTATTTACGTAGAAACATCGAGTTACATAAAAATATTGTTAACTATTATTCTTTATTTTCAGCTTTCGTTATTTTATCCTGTCTGCCGTTGATGTATGTAAAAGTCTCCATATTAGTCCTATACAGAAATATAATTATTTTATTAAGTTTAGAATTAATTAACTGTATTGTAGAACAGCTAAATCAATATTGTCTTCCATAATAAAGTTTCATTACAAGCGCATTAATTCTGTATATTGATTACGATGAAACGCGAGTATAAAGAGTAACAGATCGTGGAAATGGGCAAACTATGTAATTAGTAATTATCTAACTTTAACTAATACAAAATTAATTAATTGCATTATTGAATGAACAAATCGATATGTTTCCAATCAAGCATGGGCTGTTTTTGCAAGTGCATTCTATACATCGATTCCTTGAAAAAGCAAGTAAGGAGGAACCGTTCGCGGAAGAAAGTGATTTGATGATAAATTTATAACATTTATTTGT